TTCGTTTAACTTCTAATACTGGTTAATCACCCTTATACACTCTTGTATCACTTAAGACCAATAGGATTGACTTCTTATCATCTCAAAGATAATTCCTTCTTGGATTTATGTTAACTAATATATGGCATGAACTAACACATGTGGATATGGGTTGTAACAAGTGGATACAATGAAATATATATAATACAGCGGGATACATTGAAATACAATGAGAAAAAAAGAAAGTGAATACAATGAAATACATGGAATACAACGAGACACATTGAATTACAATGTAAAGGGAACGAGAAAGATGGGCAGTAAGGGCGGAGAGGGACGCGGTGGTGGTACGATGGTCAACGGAGACGACACGGTTGTCACTGCCGGCGTAGCAAAGGGATTTATCGTGGGGGCGTTGAACTATATGCCCACCGCTTGCTAATATGCATATACTCTGAAAACCGAATTGAGGTCGGGGACTTAGAGAGGAAGTGTTTGTGCAAAGTTTATGACTTTGACAAGGAAATCACCATTGTAGCACTCATAAATAGAACCTACATGACTCAAACTAGGTAAGACTCTGTGTATAGATTTTCCATATAGATTCTTAATAAGCATTCTTTATGGAAGATCATACAGTCTTGGTCATTGAATCGCATCAATGAAGCGTCGATAATACCTTCCTAGACCTTGTTGTTTATACTAAAAGAGAACGCCAGGGGAAGGAGGAATAAATACATAATTGGAGGGGATCCGTGGTGGTAGACGACAGAGGTGGGTCAATTTAGGCGTAAATGGTGGCGGGGATCTGGTATGTTAGGGAACAAAGTGTGAGAGAGGAAGTATGGGATTTTATTTACACTGAGAAATTTTAATGGGATGGGGGAAGAGAATGGGATGTATCAAAGTAGAGAGAGAAAGAAAATAGTGTAACTGATTAGCGTATTTAGTGGCTTAGGGCTAGGAGGCAACCAAAACTAAATATTTTGTTATAAACCTTAAAAGGTATCTATAGAATATATCTTTTTTAAATGGTATTTATTTAAAATAAATAAGGTGTTAACCTTTGCTATATGAGGTAAAAATTCCAAGGTAAAAATCGGGGCATTTACATCTATACCCGCTTTTTGTGTCACGTTTTAACTTGTGCTCGCTTTGCAAACAAAATTGCAAGCGTACCCGCTTTTTTGCATAACTTCAGCATACGGGGCTGAAGTAGCAAAGGCAATCACACAAAACTTCAGCATTCTAGTAGCCGGGCCTGAAGTTCAGCTTTAGAGCTAAAGTTTTTATTTTGTAACTGGCGAACTTCAGCTCTAGAGCTGAAGTTTTTGTTTTGTGTAATGGGCGAACTTCAGCTCTAGATCTGAAGTTTTTGTTTTGTGGAATGGGCGAACTTCAGCTCTAGAGCTGAAGTTTTTGTTTGTAACTGGCGAGTTTTTGTTTTGTAACTGAGGCTGAAGTTTTTGTTTTTGTAGCTGGGGAACTTCAGCTTTAGAGCTGAAGTTTTTGTTTTAAAACAGGGGAACTTCAGCTCTAGAGCTGAAGTTTTTGGTTGTAACTCGCGAGTTTTTGTTTTGTAACTGGGGCTGAAGTTTTTGTTTTTGTAGCTGGGGAACTTCAGCTTTAGAGCTAAAGTTTGTGTTTTAAAACTGGGGAACTTCAGCTCTAGAGCTGAAGTTTTTGTTTGTAACTGACGAACTTCAGCCTTCTTAGAGTTGAACTTCAGCCTGTAGATCAAGATTCAGTGGCTAGAACTTAGTTTATGTGATAGTAACAGAAAAAGTTGCAGCTTTTTTTTCCAGAAAATGCAATATGTTTTGTTGGATTACATGGAAGATATTATACTTTATTCAATTAAATCCTTTATCCATTGTTTGGAGTGTTTGGTTGGGTCTGTATCTGAAATTTTATGGAGCAAACCGTACCGAATATTGCTTCTAAGTAACTGTTATTGTATAAATAACCGCCAAAACTGCTAAGTAAAGAGCAGAGCCAAATTATCAAATATTTGATGTATGAAGATTAATCCTCGACATTGCAGATTCTGAATAAAAAGATTTACTTGTGATAAACAGTCCAAGCTGAGTCATGGTCAATCTATAAAGGACTTTTTCTTGGTTCGGGTTTTTGGTCTAATGGTAAAAGCGCAACGTCATGACGTCGACAAAAGTCTGATATTTAGGTGGATACTAAGGCACAACATCCAAACTCAAAATCCTTCTCAATCCAATTAGTCTCTCAACCAAATCTGCTGCAGGAGAAGACAAAGAAAAAAGCTGAAAAGCTTTGAATTTCTTCTAATGGAACTATCGGATTGAGGGCGGATATAATTTTGAGGAGGAGAAGGAAGAAGAGAAAGAGGGCTGAAGTTGTTTAAAAAGTGGGTATAAGTTAAAAGTTTTTTAAAAAAATGGGTATAAGTTAAATGTGGGCGACCAAATAGGGCGCGGGGTGCAATTTTTACGTAAAAATCCCTATATATATTTGGATAAGCCCAATAATTCTAGTCCTAAATAAGCCCAATAAACGTTTTATTTGGATAAGCCCAACAAGAGTATTCCTATTTGGATAGGAGAATTTGGCATTGCATAACAACTTAGTCCAATAATTGGCGGAAAATGATCTATGTTTTAGCATTTGGCACACGTAGCCTAAATTTAACATTTAATGATCTTCTTTCTTTTCTAATGGTCCAACCATCAAAAATAGGCTTTTATTTCCTTTTTGTTTAGAATTCGAAAATCTTTCAAGATTTTCTCCCAAATCTCTACAATCTTTTTTCTAGATTTTTTAAATTATTTCTCACAAGCATTAAAAATGTTAAAAATTATAAATATAGTTTGTATATCCAAGTGTATAACACAAATAAATTTTATTTTTTGTATATCATACTGTATAACATGTTAAATAACATGTATACCAATATATACATCACAACTTTATTTTTCTTCTTTGTGTATATCAAAAATTATTTTCCTTCGGTAGTTGTCGATAATTTATTATTATCTTTATATCCAAGTGTATAACACAAAACTAATTATATTATTTGTATATCACATTGTATAATACATAATAAAATGCGTATAGCAAAATATATATCACAAATTTATTATCCTTCTTTGTATATATTAAAATGTATATCAAAAAATTGCTTTCCTTCTTGCATATACCAGTGTATAATATATAATTTCTTATGAATACATATATATGTTTGGACCTCGAAGAATTGTATGCCCATGTTAATTTGTCGCTCTATATTAGAGCTTCGCTCCTCTGTAGTTGATGGGTAATACTAGAGTTAATTCATCTGACAAAAATTGCTTAATTTGTGGAATTGTATGCACATGTAAACCAATGGTAAAGTTAATCCACCATTTTAATCTCATTTGGAATAGGGAGGGAGGGAGGGAGGGGGGACCAGGGAACAATAGAGGGAGGTAGCAAACAGTTAGGAGAATAAATAATAAAATATGGTAGTTTTTAGGATTTAGCTATATAAAATTTGGGGCTGCTTTTGCCAAAACCTAATATAAGGCTAAAAATTTACCAATTCAGTGTTGTCATCAGGTGTCATTTTTTCTTTGGATAGACCCAATAAGCCAAGTCCTATTTGGATTAGTTTCACTCCATCGCTCTGTCTCGCCACATCTATTTCCCTCCCCGCAGTGCGAAAATGGCGGTGTTATGCAATGCCATCCCTGCGTGTCCTGTTACGCATACTCTGAGAGTAACATCATCTAAAGTTGCAGTGTGTTCGAGCTCTCGAGTCTCAGTTCCTCAGCTTCATCTTTCCGATTCTCCCTTTGTCCCTGAGGTAGAATGTAACACCCCAAATGCTCCCTTGATTTCTCCGAGAAGAAAATAGTACTATTAAATTTAACGTTTGACATTGTTAGACTCTGAGAAATAAATGAAACATGATTACTTTTGGTTTTTCTGTGGATGTGTAGGTTAACAAGGCAGTTGATTCTTTGTCGAAAGAGTTCAGAGAAGTTGACAATTTAGTGGCTCGCAATACTGCCCGAGTTTTGAGAGCTTTCCAAAGGGTCAGGGTTGGGTCTCATGTAAGTTCTTATTTTCTAAAATTTCCTAAATTGTACTCACTCCGTCCCAGTCCCATTTTATGTGATCTTTTGATTTGGAAGTAATTTTTATGAAACTTATGGTATAAAAATAAGTCATAGATATTTGTGTGGCTATACATTACCTTAAAATAAATGAGAAGTTTAACAAACGTGAATAAACATGGCCTCTATTTTCAAAAGTGTGCTGAACTACATTATATTATTTACACTGCCCAGATTTCTAGAACTTGAGTTCATGTGGAATGCATTTCTATATTCTAAGTGCTCAGTGGAACACAGTTCTTTTACTGAACACAGGTGAAGAGAGAACATGGTCTCAACTAGTGAAATAACATTTAGTAGGTCTAAATGTAATAGTGGCAATAAGTAGGCACTCTATTTTGTCAGTACTAAAAATGTACCTGCATCAGCACTTTGGTGGTAGCACGGGCTATGGTCATGAAGAAGCTGGTGGACGTGAAGCCTTGGACGATGCTTTTGCAGAAATTTTTGGTGCTGAGTCTGCAATCGTTCGAGCACAGGTTCACAACTTTTTCTTCTTCTTTTTTTCCTCCTTTCATTTCCATGAAAAGGATGTGTTTTCTTAATATACTTACCCACTTCACCTTCAGTTCTTCTCAGGTACTCATGCTATCACTTGTGCGTTATTCGCTTTCTTAAGACCAGGGGATGAGGTACACTTATTTTATTCTTATTATCACCACAATGTTCTGTTTCATGAATTATTGTAGTCCAGAATACTGGTTAATGTTTCAAATGTTGGCAAGTCTTTTTATGAAAATGACGTGAAATCAACTTGCTTCAGCTGTTGGCGGTGGCTGGTGCACCTTATGATACTCTGGAGGAAGTTATTGGAAAAAGGGATTCTGGTGGATTGGGTTCCTTAAAAGACTTTGGAGTAGAATACCGGGAAGTCCCCGTAAGTTGCATTTATATGTTCGATATTAGCTCCACATGGTTTAACTGTTCCGAATTTAAGAATTTCCAACTTTGTTTGGACATTTCACAGCTTGCAGAGGATGGCGGGCTTGACTGGGATGCACTTAAAACATCTTTAAGACCTCATACGAAGTGTGCACTCATACAGAGATCATGTGGTTATTCCTGGCGTCGCAGTTTGAGTGTAACTGAGATAGGTCAGGCCATCAATATAATCAAGGTAAATCTCTCCACATCATGGCACTGATGGTAATGTTATTCTAAAACAACTCTCAAATATCTGGAAACAAAAAGGAGGATGCTGGAGAATTACAAGTTATTCATAGTATACTCTTTCTCAGGCATAAGATGCTCTGTCCTTATAATTGATCTTTGCCTGATGCTTGATGGTTTGTGTTTGTAGCGCTGGCATAGTTAGTTATTGATTTTTCTGCTCCACTTATCGGTGTTTGTGTATGCCTTTACATTTGCTATTTGTAAAGATAGTTCTACCTTCAATCTATTTTCTTTGATGCAGATGCAGAACCCAAGCTGCCTGGTCATGGTAGATAACTGCTATGGTGAATTTGTTGACGACATCGAACCTCCTATGGTGGTATATAAACTATTCTTATCCTTAAAGTTCTATTGCATGTTAGAAATGTCAGAAGTTGATTTTGACTGAGCAGGGTGCTGACCTAATTGCGGGCAGTTTAATAAAAAATCCTGGTGGGACAATTGCACCATGCGGTGGATATGTTGCAGGAAGAAAAAGATGGGTGGAAGCAGCAGCTGCCCGTCTCTCGGCTCCAGGACTTGGAGTTGATTGTGGCTCGATCCCTGGTGATATAATGAGAACTTTCTTTCAGGGTTTATACCTCTCACCTCAAATGGTTGGTGAAGCAATAAAGGTATCTCATTTCTGCTCCAGTTCCAATATGGTCATAATCTTTTCTTCTACCTCGCCTTGATATATGCATCTTGCAAACTCCTGTTGCAAGGGAAGCTTTCTGATAGCTGAAGTCATGGCAGCTAGGGGATATAAAGTGCAGCCACTTTGTCGGGTCAAGCGTCATGACACTGTGCAGGTTTGTCTGTGACAGCTTGCATTAGTCAAGGCATATACACGTCGTTGTGTTCCTAACTGGCGATTAATACCCTCTGTTTGCACACGAGGATATTCAATTTACTCCCACCATTCAATCTCACTTCCTTTCACTGAGCAATTAGAACAATCTTCATGTTTTATCTATAAAGTATATCCCATTGTCTAGTACATATTGGTGCTCTCAGAAGTGTGCCCATATTTTAAGGCACAGCTGAATTTTATTCATAAACGTGAAAGTGGACTAAGTTTTATTATGTTTCTCAGGCAGTACAACTTGGAAGCCGTGAGCATCTACTTTCCTTTTGCGAGGCTGTTCAGAGAAGTTCTCCTGTCAGTTCTTTTATCAGGCCTGTTGCAGGTGCGACTGCTGGCTATGCATCTGAGGTATGACCAGTTTTTTGGGAATGACAGTATGCTGTACTTGAAGGAAACTCTTCGACTTATTGTTAACACTGTACTGGAAATAAAATTATTGAACATGATAATTACTAATGTTATGACACAGGAACCAATATGTAACCATCATGGCTGAAAGCTCACAGAGAATTAGTTGTGGTAGGAATCTAATATGAGCACATACATACTTTTTGTAGCAGGAAACAATTTTGTCTTCTTGTATCTGCTTGGGTTCGTGGGGATCGTGGAAGATTAGAGAGATGTGACAATGAACCTTAAGCAAGCTCATCTCTATCCTAACTTTTGAGCTTGGGTAGTCTGTTTAATTTTGGGTCTCGGTTGATGTCTTCAATTATGTGGCACAAACTGTTGCTTGTATGATCTTTCAAATTGTGGTTTGGTGTGACTACTTGATTGTCTTGGTCTATCTACCTTATTTACCAGCTTGATTTCTCTTTTTTTCTTCTTCCCTGTGCTTCATTTGGATGCTTATGGTCTAGTTGATATATGAAGCACATGTAATGGGTTGTTTAGCAGAGTTTATAATCTTGAGCAACTCATCTCAGCCTATTTTTGAAATGTTATTCATGGAGTAGGTAATTTTTGCTGATGGAACCTTCATCGATGGAAGTACTAGCGAGCTCTCATGTGATGGGCCGCTAAGAGAGCCTTTCTCTGTTTTTTGTCAGGTAATACTCTGTCATTTCTTCCACCATTAATTAGTTTGCTATAGGAGTAATTAGTTATATGTTTGCTTATGTAGCTTATCATGTGGGAAAGAGGGAATTCGTCTTTTCAATGAATTCTAGGGAAGACTTAATTTTGATGTCACTTGAATTTCTAATTGCAGGGTGGCACTCATTGGACGCAGTGGGGACTAGTTTTGGGGGAGGTTTTGAAATCTCTATGAAACTTGGAAAGATTGTGCATTGGTGAAATACCCTTGGCAAAACTTCTTTGTTTTCACCAAGTTCCTCAAAGTCTTACCGACATGATGAATTGTGGCCTAAAGAGAATACATCAATTTTCTCTCATTTAGAGGTAATGATAACAATTTCCGATTTGCACAGCAGAAAAGCCTTGGTCTGCCAATGATGATAATTACTGGTTTGGTCTTCTATGAACTACGAATATGTGAAAGTCTGGAAAGATAACTATGATCATATGTACCCCTTGACTATGATATTTTCATGGCTTCACTGAGTATGATTATTCTATTTAAAAGATTGCCTTTAATGATTGTCAGATTATGGACACTCATCCCATCAAGCCAGAGAATGATAACATGTGGTCCACATTGTCTTATCGTATGCAAGACGCAAAGGAGGTGAAGTCTGTTGCTCCGCCATGGAAATTAGAACAAATCTGGCGTAAGCACTTGTTAGTCTCAGTATTAATGTTTTGGTCAATANNGTTGTGTCCGAGGAGTAGGCAAAATTAGCCGAACCTCGTAAATTCTGGTGTTCCCTTTATTGTTGCTTTATTGTCTTATTTATTATTTGGTGGCTGTCATAATTTTTGGTATAGTAGTTGTGACTTATTCACACTATATACATTTGGCTTCCGCAACAATTGGTATCAGAGCCAAGGTACTGTCTAAGTATGCTCTGTGGTTGCAGCATAGTCTGATCTTCCACATCAGAAAAGATTTATCTTGGTAACTGAGTCAAGGTTCTGTCTGAGTATGCTCTGTGGTTGCAGCTTAGTCTGATCTTCTACATCAGAAAGGATAATCTTGATTTGTGTCGTCAGCTATTAAATAAAATATTTGT